AGCATCCTAGCACGCTACGTTGCGCCCGGGAGACACCGACCAGAGCACTGGGAGGCCACTAAGAGGGTGTTGCGCTATTTGTGCAGTACGTCGGGCATGGGGCTCGTGCTTGGAGGAAGGGGTCCAGTTGTCCTCACCGGTCACGCAGACGCTTCCTGAGTTGACGACTTGGCTACGCAGTGGTCGTCACAGGGTTATACTTTCGGCCTTGGCTCCGGTTATGTTTCTTGGTGGTCTACCCACTCGTCTTCTGTTCTCAGTTCTAGTTGTGAGGCTGAGATCTACGCAGGGGCCATGGCTGCACAGGAGTTACGTTGGCTCACCTACCTGCTGACTGACTTGGGAGAGCGGCCTTGTTCTTCTCCAGTTCTGCACGTAGACAACAAGGCCATAATTGCCTTGTGTCAGGAGCACATACTGGAGCACAGAACAAAGCACATTGCTCTGCGCTACTTCCTTGCTCGAGAGTTGCAGCAGCGTGGTCAGCTTCGTCTTGCTTATGTGGCCACTCGGGCTAACACTGCTGATATATTCACCAAGGCACTTCAGTCTGGTGATCATCAGCGTTTCTGTACTGTTTTAGGCCTTGTGCCTACTTTGCCTCACTTGCTCAATGCGTGATTTTGCTTGTACTGTGATATATATATATGTATATATATATATATATTACCTGCATGTTTACTCTTGCTAGGGTATGATCACTGTACTGGTTTTTCTCTTTTATATAACTCTGCATGTGAACTGGCCTTGTGGCCATTTGCTTGTGCTCGGAATGTGTGGTGACTTTGTGATCCACCCTGAGCTTGCTTTGCTCTTCTTGACTGGTCTTGTGACCATTTGTTCTCCCCCACTTTGCCTATGGGTGTGTGTCAAAATGTTATAGTGCTTACTTTGTGTAGGCTATAGTGGGGTAGCCCATAAGGGGTACAACCCAATTAGGGTTAGTACTTGTACCCAACTCTTTCATAGTTCATTCATTCTCGTTCATTAATTTGACAGCACCGGCAGCACCACCTGCTCCGGTAGCTCCAGCACCTCTAGTACGAGCACCTCCAGTACCAGCGGCTCCAGCACCTCTAATACCTGCAGCACCAGCACCTCCAGTGCCAGCAGCTCCAGTAGCACCTCCGGCACTAGCAGCACCACCAGCTCCGGCAGCTCTAGTACCTTTAGTAAGAGCACCTCGAGGACTAGCAGCTCCCGCACCTCCAGAACCAGTAGCACTAGCACCTCAAGTGCCAGCACCTCCAGTACCCCCAGCACCTCCAGCACTAACAGCACCACCAGATCCGGCAGCTCCAGCACCTCTAGCACCTCCAGCTCCAGCAGCTCCAGCACCTCCAGTACGAGCACCTCCAGGGTCAGCAGCTCCAGCACCTCCAGTACCTCCAGCTCCAGCGCCTCTAGCACCAGCAACACCTCCAGCACCTCCAGCACCAGCTGTACCTCCAGGACTAGTAGGTCCAACACCTCCAGAACCAGTAGCACCTCTAGGACTAGTAGCTCCGGCACCTCCAGCACCAGCAGCACCTCTAGTACCTCCAGCACTAGCAGCACCTCCAGCACCTCCAGCAGTATCTCCAGTACCTCCAGCACCAGCAGTATCTCCAGGACTAGGAGCTCATGCACCTGGAGGACCGTACCCTCCACCACCAGGATTGCCTCACCGAACGATCCACGCACAAATCACTTGCGGCGAGAGCGTCTCAAGTAGATCAGGCTGCGGTGGCTGTCCAGCTCCAGGACCTCCAGCAGGGTCACCCACAGCTCCACGACCACTAGGACTCGCAGCACCCCCAGAGTCAGCACCCCCAGTCTCAGCACTCCCAGAACGAGCACCCCTAGTCGCAACACCCCTAGAACTAGCACCCCCAGTCGCAGCACCCCCAGTCGCAGCACCCCCAGAACCAGCACCCCCAGAACCCTAACCCTCTATCTCAGCACCCCCATGCTCAGCACCAGCAGTCTCAGCTCCAAAGTCCACAGCAGCAGGCTGCGGAGGCAGCGAAGACGGCCGAGGCGGAAAACTAGGGGGGGTATCAAAGCGTGGAGAGCGGCGAGTGGCCGCCATGTCGTTAGCGGCGGGGTCACCCCCCTCAGCTGGGCCAAAAGAGTCAGAAGAGATCTCCAAAGGCTCAACCAAGGGGGGTGGGTCTACCTAAGACACAACTGAGGGAGCAGGACCCTGTGGGGGGAGGGGGTCTACTTTGGGGGTGACTGGTACCAAGAAAAGAGGCGCTAGGGGGACCGGGTGGGACGCGTGCGGGTGTAGCCTGTAGAATCAGACAGGCTCTTCAAAGGTGACGTCATGGGAGGAGAAGACTCGACGCTCGCGCGGGTGGTAGAACTGCCATGGCGGGGCATCAGTGGGGAAGCCAAGGATGACACAGCGGAGAGTGCCAGAGGAGAGCTTGCTCGCTTTGACATCGCGAACAAGGGAGAGCGCGCCCCAGACCCGAAACACCGACGCATCGCCAACCTTCCCCGTCCACCGGAGTGTGGGCGAGGTGTCTGGCTTAGAGACACGGGGCCAGAGGTTGAGCTGATGCGCTGCGTATCGGACCGCAAACGGCCACAGAAAATGGGGAGCTCCCGCATGGATCATGGAGGTACGAGCAACTTCCATGATCAAGCCAATGCGATGCTCAGCAATCCCATTTTGCTGAGGAGAGGCCGTAAGCGTGAACGAATGGACGATGCCCTCGTCTCGACAGAACTCCGCAAGGATGTCAGAAGAGAACTCACCGCCCCTGTCAGAGTGCAGACGCAGGACTGGGAAGTCCCGACGAAACCGCTCGTGCAGATGGCGACGAGTAGTACGGATCCAGGGGATCAAAACACCGCTGACGCCTGCCTTGCGCCGCAAGGGGAAGACAGTGGTGTAGCGTATGTAGTCGTCAACAACCAGCAGGAAGTAGCGCTCCTGGTCCGTCCCACCGACGGGGGCCGGGCCTCAAACGTCCATGTGGAGAGTCTTCAAAGGAGCAGTGGTCGGAGGAAACTCGGAGGAGTGAGGAGTGGCGCGCTGCCGCCCCTCGATGTAGGGAAGACACGGCGGGGCAGGCGAGCGCGGGAGGGAGGGCAGGGACCTGGGAAGGCCAGAGACAAGGAGACGGGAGTGCATGCTGCGGAGACGCAGCAGCGAGGGGTGACCTAGGCGGTGGTGCCAGAGGAGAGTCTGGTGAGAGAGTACCCGACACGAGCAAGATGCTGCACGCTGACCAGGCACAGACACCTGACTCGACGCAGCCACCTGACCTGACTCAGCCACCTGTGCAGACGCAGTGGTCAGGGTGTACAGACCGGACCCAGGCTGACGAGTGAGCATAGCAAGGTGACGGCCAGTCTGTGAGCACTTACAGATCGCCACACGCTATCCTCTAGGAATGAAGGTGTCAACCCATTCATTCTGGAGAGCTGCGTTGCTCAACAAGTTCGTCGAGAACGTGGGAAGGTGGAGACCTGAGAGAGACCCGGAGGGGACTGCCGGACACGGGAGGACAGTGGAGGCTCGCGCAACTACTGGGCCCCCAGTGGGGTCAGCCAGTGAGACTGGGACAGGTGCTGCGAGTGGTGTGACTGTGGTGCAATCACGAAAGAAGCAACGTGACGCGCCTGAGTCAAGCGTGAAAGTGTGCAAGGCCTCAGCTGAGGCAGGACCTGTGGCAGTAGACGCACTAGCACCTAGAGCGTCGGCAGACTCACGAGCACCTAGAGCTGCAGCAGACTCACCAGCACCTGGAGCGACAGCAGACTCACTAGAACCGAGAGCAGCAGCCTCTACACGATCAGGGACGCATCACTGAGAAGCACAGTCGCGAGGTCGCTGAGGCCACATAAAACCAAAACCTCCACTACCAGGACTACCTCGCTGAATAACCCACTCACGAAGCTGCTGAGGGGTGGGGTCGTCCGGGAGAGGCAGTGACCACTGCTGTCCACCCCTAGCTGTTGCAACTGCCATGATAGTGGCCATGACAGGCAGTGACGGTCAGTAGTAGGTCCAGCACCTCTAGCACCAGCAGCACCTCCAGTACTCCCAGCCGCACATCCACCAGCAGCGGCAGTAGCACGAGCAGCAGCAGCAGTAGTAGTAGCAGGAGGGCGGCTCGGGCTGGGCGGCGCGGCTCGGTCTGGGCAGCGCTGCTCAGCAGGGCACAGCGTTGCAGTAGCAGCGTGTGCAGCAGCAGCGCGCTGGGCAGCAGGGCGCGCTGGTGCGCTAGGCTGCGGGGCGCGCTGGCGTGCTTAGCAGCGGGGCGCGCTGGCGCGTTTGGGGCTGCGGGGCGCGCTGGCGCGTTTGGGGCTGCGGGGCGCGCTGGGCTGCGGGGCTGCTCGTGGGCAGAAGGGGCGTGCAGGGCAGGGGCTGCTCGCGGGCAGCAGGGGCGCTCGGGTCAGGGGCTGCTTGCGGGCAGCAGGGGCGCGCGGGGCAGGAGCTGCTCGCGGGCAGCAGGGGCGCGCGTGACAGCAGGGCAGCGCGCTAGGGTAGGCTGTGTGAGTAGCTGCAGGGCAGCGTGACACTGTGCGAGAGGGCCGGACAGCGCAAGGGCGCTTCGGGCAGGAACTAGCGGAACGATCGGAATGATCGGTGGGCCCTAAAAATCTAACAGGTTTCATGCTCTGAATACCATGTCAGAATCATCTGTGCAGGAATGATTGACTAGCAAGCAAGGATGAGTACAAGTACTAGGTCTGACCTAAAGTGTTGTACTCAGTAGAGGCATCCCACTACAGCCTACACATACAAATGTAATTTGACTAATGTACCATAGCTGTTCCATTACTCGTCATCCCTCCGTCAGCTTCTTCTGCATGTGCTCTCTCGGGCCCTATTATTCCACGCGGGCCCAGTCCTAAACATCTCTACACATCCTATTTTCATAACAACCCCTATCCTAAACAAAACGTGTACTGAAATTCCCAACTGAACATCCCGCTCCGCTCGCCTATGCAATCCCACTTCCAAGAATCCGCTCCTAGACTTCTCATCGCTTCTAGACGCCTCAGGCAGCAGATGCAGAGGCAGCTGCAGCTTGCAGGAAGGAGCGCAACTCACTGTCGTCCTCCACTAGCTGCCATGGCACCTGGTGGTGAGGAGGGAAGAGCAGACAGGAGCGCAAAAGAGGAGATGTGGCAAAGGAGGATAGATTGTGGAGAGGAGTCAGCTAGCAGCTCACTGTCGTCCTCCACTAGCTGCCATGGCACCTGGTGGTGAGAGCGACGAGAATTGATAGAGGGCAAAGTGGAGATGCGTCACAGGTGCACTATTGAGTCGCGGCAACTACACAAGCAACTCACTGTCGTTCGTCCTCCACTAGCTGCCTGGGCACCTGGTGGTGAGAGCATTGAGAAATACAGGGGGGGAAAGAGGCGATGCTGCACGGGTGGGTTGGTGATTCGACCTAACGAGCAGCTCACTGTCGCCTTCCACTAACTGCCATGGCACCTGATGGTGAGGAGGTTGAGAGAAGCAAGGGGGCACAAGAGGTGACACGCTCAGGGGGACTGTGGAGGGAGTGGAGTCAGCAAGCAGCTCACTGTCATCTTTTGAGTCGACCTAACAAGCAGCGCACTGTCGCCTTCCACTAACTGCCATGGCATCTGGTGGCAACACGGGTGGCAGAGAGAGTGGAGTAGGTGACCGGGAGGAGGAGTGGATTATGAAGTTGACTTAAAGGGGCGGCTTGCTGTTGCCCCCACAAGCTGCCAGGGCATCTGGTGGGGAGGGAGAGAAGAGCGGACCGAAGGGGACGTGGAACTCAGGTGGTGGCAGGAGTGGCAGGTGGTGTGGTGTGATTCAGCTGACTTGAGGCCTGCTTGATGGTTCCAACGAAGAGTGGTGGGAGTAGGAGATGAGGAGATGAGTGGCGGGAGTGGGAGATGAGGAGATGCGTATAGCATTTACACTCACACGTTGAAAAAGTAGGATGGTGCAGTGTGGAGCAAAGAAGGGTGGACCGTGGAGAAAAAGGAGGGCACACCTGGGCGGCATGGTTGGGGCGGCAGAGCACACACCTGGGCGGCATGGTTGGGGCGGCAGAGCACACACCTGGGCTGCATGGTTGGGGGCGGCAGCGCACACACCTGGGCGGCATGGTTGGGAGCGGCAGTGCACACACCTGGGCGGCATAGTTGGGGGCGGCAGGGTTGGCTCCGGCATCCAACAGCAGGCGGCAGACCGAAGGGTGCTCGCCCCTTGCCGCGTTGTGTAGGGGCTGATGGCGGTTGGAGGGTTGGGGGGGAGAGGGGGAAAAGGAGGACATTGTAAGGCGGTCAATTTCGTCGAAGCGACAACCCGCCCCACATCTCATACCCCACCTCTCACACCACATTTCTCGCACCCCACCTCTCACACCCCACCTTTCACACCCCACCTCTCACACCCTTCTCCTCCCACCCCACTGCCCACCGTGTCCCCGTCACCGTCCTGTGCCCCTCCATGCGCCTCCAGTCATACCCCACTGCTCCTCATCCCTGCACCTTCACCAAACCTCTGCTCACCATATCTCCATCGCTGTCCTGTGGCCCCCCCACCATGCGCCTCCGCTGCTCCACATCACTCACCTCTTCCCCCACCCCACCCTCCCAACCCTCCTACCCCCTCCCTCCCCACCCCACACCACCACTAAAGGTGTCTCCATCACTGATCTGTGCTCCCTCCATGCGTCTCCAGTCATACCCCATCGCTCCTCGCCCCTGCAACTTCACCAAACCTCTGCTCACCGTATCCCCATCACTGTCCTGTGCGCCTATCATGCGCACATCCCATACCCCCATCACATCCCCTCTGCACCGCATCCCACCACTCACCGTATCCCCATCACTGTCCTGTGCGGCAATCATGGGTCTCAACTCACACCCTCCATTCCAATCAAATCCTCCCCTCCTCTTCCCACTCAACCACTCACCGTATCCCCATCGCTGTCCTGTGCGGCAATCATGGGTCTCAACTCACACCCTCCATTCCAATCAAATCCTCCCCTCCTCTTCCCACTCAATCACTCACCGTATCCCCATCGCTGTCCTGTGCGGCAATCATGGGTCTCAACTCACACCCTCCATTCCAATCAAATCCTCCCCTCCTCTTCCCACTCAACCACTCACCGTATCCCCATCGCTGTCCTGTGCGGCAATCATGGGTCTCAACTCACACCCTCCATTCCAATCAAATCCTCCCCTCCTCTTCCCACTCAACCACTCACCGTATCCCCATCGCAGTCCTGTGCGGCAATCATGCGCCGCCGCTGCTCCGCATCGCTCGCTGCCGCCAGAAGCATGCCAATCACATTCAAGAAGCCTAGAGGGGGGAGAAGGGGATGGGGATGATAGTGTGTGCGTGGTAAGAGTGCCAGAAGCATGCCAATCACATTCAAGAAGCCTGGTGGGGGGAGGGGGAGGAGTGGGGGAAGAGGGTAAGCGGGGCAGGGATGAGGTCAGGGCGCATGCGTAGCAGCAGCAGCACGAGCATGCCCACCACATTCGAAAAGACTGGTGGGGGGAGTAGAAGGGGAGTGTAAGTGGGGAGAAGAAGGGGATGCAGGGGAGGAGAAGTGAGGTCAGGGCACGTGTGTAGCAGCAGCAGCATGAGCATGCTAACCATGTGTGTAGCAGCAGCAGCATGAGCATGCTAACCACGTGTGGGAAGCCTGGTGGGGGGGGAGCGGAAGGGAGGGGCAAGCAAGGAAGGGAGGGGCAAGCAAGGCAGGGATGGGGAGCCGATGCCCGTGCAGTGAAGGAGGAGATGTGACGACTGTTGAGACAAGGACAGGACACGGCTCCTCTCATCCTTTCATCCACCCACCCATCCACCCACCCACCCGCCAATCCACCCACCCACCCACCCGCCCACCCACCCGCCCTCCCACCCACCCACACACCCACCCACTCACCCACCCACCCGCCCTCCCACCTTCCCACCCACCCACCTCCAGCACAAGCGTCATGGAGAGGAATGGCCCCATCCTCGTCCCGAGCCTCGATCGCAGCTCCAGCGGCAAGCAACAGCTGGAGGCGGGAGAGGGCGAGGGTGAGGGCAACGGAATAGGGAGAGAAGAAAGCATGTGATTTAGAGAGAGGAAGTGGAGGAGCATGTGTGTGTGTGCGCTTGCATGTGTGTGTTGGGCGGAGGGAAGGGGGGGGGGGGGGTTGGAGCGAAATGCATATGTGCGAACTTGTGCATGCACCTGGCGTGTCTGCAGTGCACTGGCACACTTGCACATGCAGTGTGGCCGTACAGACACGCCAGGTGCAGTGCCGTGTTGCAGAGGCGAGGGGGGAGAGTAATATGCGCTTGTGCATGTGCGCATGGGTGCATGCGTGCATGTGTGAAAGTGCTTCAATCCCCACCTCAACACATGCAGTGTGGCCGTACAGACACGCCAGGTGCAGCGCCGTGTTGCCATCCTCCCCTGGCGAGTCCAGCGCCACTGACACGCCCTCTGATGGGGGAAGCGGGGAGGGGCCGCAAGAAGGGGAGGGGCGAGGGAGGGCAGAGAGGCGCGGGGGAAAGGGGGGTTGGGAGGCAGTGGGGGAGGCATGAGGCGCCGTGCTTGCCATCCTCGCCTGGCGAGTCCAGCGCCACTAACACGCCCTCTGATTGGGGGGCAGGGGCGGGGGAAGAGGGGACAGGGGTTAGCAGAGAGGGGTTAGAGAAGAGGGGAGAGGGGTTAGGGGAGAGGGGAGGGACAGCAGGGGGGAGGAGCCATAATGTGGTTTGGCAATCCATAGTAGGGTGATGTCAGCGGTCGTAGAACCGCGAGTCAGCAAGCCACTTTTGAGAATTCTCAAATTTGATTTCTCACCTTCCTTCCTTCGCCTCCTCTCTCGTACCCTTTCCCAATTCCCCCCTACCTTCCTACTACCTCTCTCCCCTTTCCCCACCCCCGAGCCTCTCCTTTCCCCTCTCCTTCCCTTCAATTCCCCCTCCCCCGCTCAGCGCGCGCCGATCGCGCCCAAACACGGACGTACGAATCGCGTCCCTCAGAGCGTCCGAGTCGCCCTCCTCCGCGGCGCGCATCAGCGCCTCCGTCCCCTCGGGCAGATCCAGCGCGGCTCCGTGGCCGCTGACGTCAGCACCGCGGATTAGGATCATTTCGTCCTCCTCCTCCTCGTTCGAATCGTAGACCCACCCATCGTCTTCCTCTTTTTCCGGATCCTCGTCGTTGCCACGTGGCACCGATGAGGAGGGCTCGGCGCCACTTCCGGCGGGTATTGCGGCATCAAAGGTGCGTTCGTCTTGTTGCGAAGATGACGACTCGTCCGGTTTGCCCATGCTCGTACCCGGTATAGAATCAAAAGACTCGGTTGTTATAGCGAGGTCGCTTAGCTGAATGCAAGCTATCAGCTGGTGTGATGGAAATACCGGGGTGAATCTGCTGGAGGGTATCGGGTGTAGTGAAGTGTTTACGGCATTCATCTAGAACGTGTGCTGCTTCTCACGTTGGCGTTCTTATGAGTGTCCTTGTGATCTCCATGTACCAAACATTATTTGATGTTGTGTCACACTGTAACGAATATAAAAGGTTGTTACAGATGTACGGATGAATGCCATGCCAATCTCTGGACCACATGCAGATTGATAACTTATCGGTCCTGCTCCACACGAATTTGACGACCACAATCAGCGTCCGCTTCCCATTCGCTGGCTCGATCCTTCCGTCATCTTTGTCGACAAATATATCTCAGCGGACAAGCGAGTCCGCCCGGGGGAGGCATGGATTTAGGGTTGATGTCTCCCTCGGATGGCATGCCATCCGATAGGGTTTTAGTTTTTTCCTGCCCGGGGCAGCATGTCGTCAAGTCGTCAATGGGTCGTCAGGCTTGACGACCAGTTTCCGCTGGGATATTCCGTCGTCTGTCAGTCAGCCCCTTCAGGTCAAGGAGACCGAACTGACGACGCTTCTTCGAGAATCGTCGCCAAGCTTTGTTGTCAGCAACAGTAACCCACCTGCCTCCACGGCTGTGGCGTCTCGTCAATTTGAACAATATGATGGGCAGGAAAATTTACAGCGATGAATTGGCAGGCAGCCAAATTTGTATTTGATGTACAGATACTGGTTGACCTAGCCAGTGTTAATTTACTGCAACAAGTTCCCATAATAATTCAGGTAGAAAAGCGAGAAGTCAAAATTCACCCTCTCTCCCTTCCTTCCAACCTTCCCCTCCGCTTCACCATTGTCTTTCACAAATCACAAGCCCATACAAAACGTTCTTCGCCAGAATCTCCTAGCCTGGATAGCCAGCAGTAACGACTACCCCTTCAGCACCGCACGGGCAGAAGCTGACACCGCAAAGGACAGCCATGGTAGGCCACGGCCTGACACGGCAGCACGGCACACCCAAAACAGGGAAACGGAGAGCAGTCTTGCGTCCAATCGGCCAAGCCGCAGGCATTGAAAATCGATGCACAGCACATACATCATCACCATCACCATTTCGGTCTCGCTCGAGTCAGTCAGATAGGACAGAACGAGAGAAGCGAAGCGAGCAAACTCCTTTTCTCCGCCTCACTCCACTCCCTCCCCCTTCCCCCCTTTACACCTTGAGCGCATCCATTCCGTCCAATCCGCCATTGCAGCGCTGTCTGGTGCATGCCCACCGCCCTGCCCGCTGCCTACCACCCACCCACCACCGACCCCATCGCTCACACCACTCCGCATCACCTCTCACTCCATTCCATGGGATGGTGTGGCGAGGCGACCAAGAGTGCAGGCAGGGTCTCTCAGTTTCAAGCGGAGCGCCACTTCTTTCCGTACAATACACTGCAGCACTGTGCAGTTCTAACTCCGCTGTCACGCGACGCTTTCGCGTGCAATCCATGTACACCATGTAGCGATTTTTACACCTCAACCTGATGGTTCCGAGTCAAGCCCAACCTCCTGTCATTCCGACTCCATAGTCCAGCACAATACTGATCAATCTACGATGATCATCAATGTATTGAAGTAAGCTCCGTCCTGCCACTAGTTCCCGTTCGTGACAAGCTAGGGTTTGTGGACTCTCGTACTACCGAACAATCCGCACAAGTCTGAGAAGAGTCTTCTAGTCCTGCGCGGTTCGCATCGGATCGCGCCCCCTGACTCTCGTACAAGGAGGGAAAGTACTAGGACGTGTAGGACTCGATCTCTCTGACATGCACTACTACTAGGCAATGGTCGCGGTCCGCAGCCCGCGTCGCGCCTCCTCATAATCCTCCATTTCGCACCGAACGATTCGTGGTAGCAGTCTCGTAGAACCTCTTGGCCTCAGATCGGCCATTTCAAGCGCTGCGAAGAGGTCACACGTGACACAACGCGCGGCTCCGTTTCCTTCTGCACAGCGCGATATGCGGCGGTACGCGGCTAAGATCCGCGGCGGCGGAAAGTGCGGCGGGGATTGGAGATCTTGCCGCGAGACTCCGAGGCTTCGGAGGGCACCCCGGGGGTGTCGGCCCAGCGGCATCACTGTAACGCGGCGAGATGCGACTGTGACGCGGCGAGATGCGACGGTAACGCGGCGAGATGCGACGGTAACGCGGCGAGATGCGAGTGTAACGCGGCTCGTGCGACGCGACCTTAACCATCTTGGCGACGACGCGGCTGCTCGACCCGCGTGGTGCTACGTTCTAGGTACTACTACTACAGCTACTATCTACTATCTACTAGTTAGATTGGGCTGCTGTCGCGAAGAGTCATTGCCGCTAAGCTGGACTCAAACGCCGAGGTGACGTACCGGCGGTGACCGTTACGATGTCCGTTATCTGCCAGATTAAGGTCTGAGCCGTCACGCGGTGCATACCGCACCGCTGGGTGGTCGTTATCGAAACGGCGGTGACTGTTGTGTTCACGGGTGTTGGCGGTTCTGGGGTCATTGTGTGCTGAACTATTTGCCGGATAGTGTCCACCTGTGGTGTCTTTTGAGGCGACTCGACTCGACTCAGAAGTTTACCGAGGGGGCCATGCCGCAAGAGCCGCCCGCTGCGTTGCGATGCGCTGCCTGGCCAAGCGACGATCTGGCGGTTCGTCACCCCGTTGCGGTGGCGCGTCGCGTCGTCGTCGCGGCGCGGTCTTCGCTTTGTCGTCGCGTCGTCGTCGTGTGGTCGTTGCTTTGTCGTCGCTCGTTGCTCGTCGCTTTCCTGGTTTAGCACCAACCGGCCTGTTTTCTTTCAATCCTCGGATCGTGCGCTCGCACCATCGTCAACCGTCGATTCCGCTGCGAATTGCGTCGCCTTTCCCCCTTCCGATTCTCCCCCACACCACTCGGATTCCCCTCCCCTTCCACCACTCTCCACAACATCGTAACGGCCCTCCGCGGCTGGCGGAACGCGCCAGTCTCGCGTGCCAGCTTTCCGCGCCCCCCCGCCTCGTTAAGTAGAACAAGCTGAGCATTCCGGCTGCGCCCACCGGCCGCTGCGCCTGCCGGTCGCTGCGCCTACCGGCCGTTACTTATCACAAACCCTAGCTCGCGCTTCTTTCCGCCATTCCCCTTTCCCCACTCCCAGTTCAGCTGATCCCCTTTCCTTTCCGCCGTCCGCGTCCCTCCCTCCCCCGTCCCTCTGTCCCACCAGCGGCGCTGCTGCTCCTGCACTTGCCGGCCGCGACTGGCGACTTTGACGGTAAGCCGACTTTGATGTAAAAAACCGTTAGGCTGGCATCGTCGTTTCAAAACAGCGACGCTTGTTGGTATTCGATTGTTTTAATATGTTTGTTTGTTTGTTTTTGTTTTTCCTGGGTTCTTATGGTTTCGTTTGTTTGTTCTTCCAAATTCGTGAAATTTCTTCTCTTTTTTGTTTCCTCCATAATTTCCGCCCGTTTTGCACCAACTCCCAAATTCGTCTCTCCGTCTTTTTTCTTTTCCCCCACCTCCCTTCCCCTTCCCCTTCCCCCCTCCCTTCCCCTTTTCCCCCTCTTCCCCCCGCCTGTGCATGCCGCTCTGCGCAGCTTTCCGCGTGGCCTTGGTGTGCGGGGGCAACGGACGCGGCAGCATCAGCCTGGCACTCGGGTGCGTTGATTGCGCCTCGCTCCTCCACCCACCACTCCCCTCCCCACATCCGCCACCTGCCACTTCCGCCACCCACCGCGCGCCACCCGCCGCGCGGTCTGTTTTTCGTCCGTGTTGAGAGTCGGTTGTGCCTAACGGAGTGAACTGATTCAGCCAACAAAGTCGGCCTCAGTAGTGCGGAGAGGCGTGCTTTGTTGGGTCGACTCGAGATCCGGGTCGTGCCGTGCCGTCCGTTCCGTTCACGCACAGGAGCGCACAGGAGCGCATATGAGCGCACATGAGCGCATATGAGCGCATATGAGCGCACATGAGCGCACATGAGCGCACATGAGCGCACATGAGCGCATATGAGCGCATATGAGCGCATATGAGCGCACATACTTGCTACACATGCACATGTGCACAGCGCCGACATGACGTCCCAGTGTATCACCGTCACTCTCGTGTTCTTCCCGCTCCCTCCCCCCCCGTTTCCCTATCCGGGTATTCCCTGTTCCCCCCTCCCCCCATCCCCAACTGCAAAACCTGCGGCAGCGCCGCATGTGTGGTATACAAGCTGACAGTCACTGCCCTTGTCGCGCTCTTCCCCATCCTCCTTTCCCCCTTTTCCCCCATCCCCCCTTTTCACCCATCCCCCCTTTTCCCCCATCCCCCCTTTTCCCCCATCCCCCCTTTTCACCCACCCCCCATTCGCAGCACCTGTGGCAGCAGCGCGTGTGTGGCATACAAGCTGACAGCCACTGCCCGTGTCTTATTATCACACTCGCTCTCCCCCCCTTCCCCTCTCTCTCTCTCCCATCCCGCCTCCCCCCATTCCCATGTGCAGCACGTGTGGCAGCAGCGCATGTGTGGCATACAAGCTGACCGCCACAACACCGAAGGACACGCCGCCCTCGCAGCTCTCCCTCCTCTCCGCCACCAATAACAGCACCACCACGGGGGGCGGTGCAGCCTCCCCATGCGCGCAGGGCACGTGTCCGTTCCCCCTACTCCCAGACGCCATCACATGGAGAAAACCTGCTGCCGCCACCCCCACTCTCTGGGAAGCCGTAGGGCACTTCATCCTGCCCCTTTCTGCTTCCACCGCTGCTGCTGCCGCTGCTGCTGCCACCACCGCTGCTGCTGCTGGCACGGCCTCTCTCTCGGCCGCCTTCCCTGCTGCTGCTATGACTGCTGCAACTGCTGCTTTTGGTGCTGCGTCTGGTGCTGCTGGTGGTGCCTTGGCGTGTGATGCTGGTGCTGAAGCCTGCAGTGCACCGCTTGCAGACGGGTCGTTGCTTCAGGCGCCCCAAAGGTCGTTGCTGGTGTTTCCAGCCAAGGTCAAGGAACCCCCGCCTCCCTCCCCCCCGCCTCCGTCCTCACCGCCTCCCTCCTCCTCCCCGCCTCCCTCCCCACCGCCTCCGTCCGCCTCCCCTCCACCTCCCTCCACCACTACCACCACTGGTAACGGCGGCAGCAGCAGCAGCAGCAGCAACGGGAATGGGAATGGTAACGGTAACGGCAACGGGAATGGGAATGGGAACAAGAGCCCACCTCCCTCCACTCCTTCCCCTCCTCCTCCTTCCCCTCCTCCCCCTTCCCCTCCTCCTCCCACTCCTCCCTCTCCTCCTCCTCCCTCTCCTCCCTCTCCTCCCTCTCCTCCTCCTCCCTCTCCTCCCCCTCCCTCTCCTCCCCCTCCCTCCCCTCCTCCTCCCTCTCCTCCTCCCCCCTCTCCTCCATCTCCCTCCCCTCCCCTCGACCCCCCAGTCTCCCCGCTCCTCTCCCCCCCACTCGCCTCGCCTCCTGACCCCCCTGCTTCCCCTCCTCCCAACCCCCCTGCTTCCCCTCCTCCCAACCCCCCTGCTTCCCCTCCTCCCAACCCCCCTGCTTCCCCTCCTCCCAACCCCCCTGCTTCCCCTCCTCCTAACCCCCCTGATTCTCCTCCCCCTAACCCCCCTGCTTCTCCTCCTAACGTCCCTGCTGGGAACGGCAATGGTAACAGTAACGGCAATGGGAACGGCAATGTGAATGGCAATGGGAATGGCAATGTGAATGGCAATGGGAATGGGAATGGCAACGGAAACAAGAACCCACCCTCTAATCCTCCCTCCTCTCCTTCCTCTCCGCCTCCCTCTCCTCCATCCCTCCCCCCTCCCATCGAACCCCCAGTCTCCCCCCCCCCAGACCCCCCTTCCTCTCCTCCTCCTAACCCCACTACTCCTCCTCCTGAACCCCCCTCCGCGAATGGCAATGTTACTATCAATGGGAATGGCAACGGCAACGGCAACGGCAACGGCAATGGAAATGGAAATGCGAACAAGACACCACCCTCACCTTCCTCACCTCCTCCCTCTCCGACATCCCTCCCCCCTCCCCTCGAATCCCCAGTCTCCTCCCCACCCGACCCGCCTGCTTCTCCTCCTCCTGACTCCCCTGCTGGGAATGGCAACGGCAACGGCAATGGAAATGGGAATGGGAATGGGAATGGGAATGGGAATGGAAACAAGAGTCCCCCTCTTCTTGATCCTCCGGTTTCCCCGCCCTTGTCTCCCCCAGTTACCTCACCTCCTGACCTCCCTGCTTCTCCTCCTCCTGACGCCCCCGCTCTTGGGAATGGCACTGTTACTATCAATGGGAATGGCAACGGCAATGGCAACGGCAACGGCAACGGCATTGTGAATGGGAATGGAAATGGGAATGGAAACAAGAGTCCTCCTGCCTCTCCTCCACCCTCGCCCCCGCCCTTGTCTCCCCCAGTCTCCTCCCCACCACCTGACCTCCCTGTTTCTCCTCCTCCTGATACCTCCGCTCTTGGGAATGGCACTGTTACTACCATTGGGAATGGCAACGGCAACGGCAATGGAAACGGGAACGGGAACGGGAATGGGAATGGGAACGGGAACAAGAGTCCTCCTTCCATCTCCCCTCCCCTCGATCCTCCAGTTTCCCCGCCCCTGTCTCCCCCAGTCTCTTCCCCTCCTGACCCCCCTGCTTCCCCTCCTCCTGACATTCCTGCTGGGAACGGCAATGGTAACAGTAACGGCAACGGTAATGGGAATGGGAATGGGAATGGCAATGGCAGTGGGAATGGGAATGGCAACAATAGCCCACCCTCCAATCCCCCCTCCTCTCCTTCCCCTCCTGACACCCCTACTGGGAACGGCAATGGTAACAGTAACGGCAGTGGCAGTGCTAATATCAATGGCAATGGGAATGGTAATGGGAATGGCAATGGGAATGTTAATAGCACTGGCAATGGCAATGGGAATGGTAATGGTGCTGGTAATGGGAGTGGTAATGGCAATGGCAATGTTAATAGCACGGGTGATGGGAGTGGGAATGGTAATAGTGCTGGTAATGGGAGTGGCAATGTTAATACCACTGGCAATGGGAATGGGAATGGCAACGTGAATGGTGCTGGTAACGGGAGTGGCAATGGCAATGGCAACGGCAATAGTCCTTCCTCCTCTCCTCCTCCCATCTCCGCTCCCCCATCCACCTCCCCTCCCCTGCCTCCCTCCTCCCCACCTCCCTCCACCCCTCCTACTTCCACCCCTCCTCCCTCCACCCCTCCTCCGTCCTCCCCTCCTCTCGATCCGAGCCCAGCATCACTGGCAGCAGCACTGGCGTCCCTTCGCACTGGGGGGGAGAACGGAGGTTGTGTGGGGGGAGGGGCGAGTGGGGGTGGGGGAACTGGGTCAGGCGGGAGTGCCGCGCAATCCTGGCCGTTGATCGCGATGGAGTATGACGAGATGCCGAGCAGTCCAGGTGGCGCGCAGGGATTGGCTGTTGGGGAGTTTGCCAAGAGCACGATCGCTGCATTCGGTACGCGCTGCTCCCTCCTCTTCTCATCTCTCCTCTCGTCTGCTCTCCTGATAGTAGTGTTTTGAGAGTACGTGTCTCAAAACACTACCCCTCTCAAAACACCACTTGTATCACATGGGGAGCACAATCGCGGCATTCGGTATGCACTGCTCTCTCCTCTTCTCATCTCTCCTCTCGTCTGCTCTCCTTCCTTCACTCTCCAGCAACTTCCTGTGTTGTCCTGCACTCTCTTGTGCTCGCGTGCTCTTTCTCTTGCGCTTCATGGCTGTAATATTTCTCCTTTGCCCTCCCTTTCCCTCTTCTGCCCTCCTCTGCGCCCTCCTCGGCCCTCCTCTGCCCTCCTCTGCCTTCCTCTGCCCTCCTCTGCCCTCCTCTGCCCTCCTCTGCCATCCCATACCGCAGACCGTGCATCAGTTTTGAGTCGATTCAAAACTAGCCCCCTCTGCCCTCCTCTGCCCTCCCATGCCCCCCTCTGCCCTTCTCTGCCATCACAAACCGCAGACCGAGCATCAGCCCCCCTGCCAGCAGTGACATCCCCCCTATTCACCATCAACCTCACAAACCCCACGCTGACTTTTGAGTCGACTCAAAAGTTACCCCCCAAATCACCGTCAACCTCACTGACCCCATGCCCGCTTCCTCTGCTCTCTTTTGCTCCCTCCCCTTGCCTACCTACGTCCTCCCATGCTGCAGACCGAGCATCAGCCCCGCTGCCAGCACTGACATCCCCCCAATTCACCATCAACCTCACAGACCCCATGCCGGGTGGCGGCCACATCCGGGTCGATAGCCTGTACGTCTCTTGTCCCCCATGCATGCTCACATGCATGCTCACATGCACATGCTCACATGCATGCTCACATGCACATGCTCACATGCACATGCTCATATGCACATGCTCACATGCATGCATTCTCTGCCACAGCTCACATGCATGCATTCTCTGCCACAGCTCACATGCATGCCTTCTCTGCCACTGTAGCGTCTGAGAACAACTTGCATGTTCCGTCAACAGCCTCGCTGACCCCATGCCGGGCGGGACTCGCACCAGGGTTGACAGCATCAGCTGTCAGATACGATACCAGTAACACTTCCTGCTTTGAGTCGACTCAAAACAATTCCTGCTCATTCCTTGTGCGTGTCTCTATCTCCTCCCCCCCCTCCCCCCTCCCCCCTCCCCCCCCCCCCCTCCTCCCAATCCGTGTCTGCATGTGCCGGGCGGGACGGGGCACACACCAGGGTTGACAGCATCATCTGTAGGACACGGTACCAATAACAATCCCTGCTCATTCCTTGTGCGTGTGTCTCTCTCTCCCACTCTCTCCCCCCTTCCTTGCTGCAGTACGGCCAGCTTTGTCCGCATCTCCTATACAATCATCCTCGTTGCACCGGATAACAGCCCCCAGTCTGCTGCTCTGCTGCTCTCTGCTTCTGGAGGAGGCAGGAAACTGAACAGCGTGATCATGAGCAGCAACAGCGCCAATGGGAATGGCAATGGTAATGGGAATGGAAATGGGAATGGGAATGGTAATGGGAATGGGAATGGTGGCAATGGGAGTGGTGATGGTGGCAATGGGAGTGGCAGTGGTGGCAATGGGAGTGGGAGTGGTAGTGGTAGTGGAAACGGTAATGGTAATGGCAATGGCAATGGCAATGGGAATGGGAATGGGAATGGGAATGGCAGTGGGAGTGGGACGGGGAGTGGTGGCGGCAGCAGCAGCGGTGGGGGTGGTGGCAATGGTGGTGGCAGCAGTGGCGGTGGTGGCAATGGCAATGCTGGGGGCAACACAAAGCGGATTCAGCGCACCTCTTTGCCATGTATATGGACAGAAACAAGGCCTCTGGTGTACAGTTGTGCGGGGTTTACAGAGGTATCCGTTAACCGCTCTGATAAAGAGCTGACTGCGTTTGTAGAGTATGCGCAATCAGGGTTAAATGGGGCTAATGACGAGTTCTCCTTACAGGTGACCTCGATAGGTGCACTAAGCACAAGTACGGCAACATTGCTCTGGATGAGTAGGGTGATCTAACTTATTATTATACAATATATTTATTTCTATTCTGCGGGCCAAGAAGTTCAACTTAAGGAAGGTTGGTTGGGTTGGTGAGAGATGCAATTTTCCAAGATTTTGGACGACAGGGTCACACTCAACTGAAGTTAGGAAGGTTGAATTTGTTACAATCCCAAGTGGGACTTAGCGAAGGATTGTTCTCAGGGTTGATCGCAGGGTAGTGTTGCAGCGGAAGAGTTGACCTTAGGTCAGAGTGAATGTAAATGACTGAGATAATAAAAAACATGCATACATCGAGTTTATATAAGAATACAGGGGAATACGAAACGACCTAGACTAGCCATGTACTCTAAGAGTCTAAGGGGAACATTCCCTTATAACAACGAATTAAAAACCGTGCGGCGCGGGAACCCGTTTTGAACCTGTTCCCGCTCTTTTCACTTCAAATGTTTCTGCCTGCATCGGTCTTGGTCAGACGGTTACCGACATCGCTTCGACTCTTCTGACTCCTCGACTTCGTACTCGGTAGAGTCGGCTCCTGCAGCATACAGGAATGCCTTCTCATAAACTTTCATATCGTAACACTCCCCTTCATTCCTGGGCGCGCAGAGGGCAGACTCGCTTGACCACTCCGGTGAGGTCAGAGCAGTGCTTGTACTGCTGACGTGGCTGTCGCTTGGTGAGGAAGTCTGCTGCCATCTCGGTGGTGGGACAATACGCGAGGTCAACTTTGCCCTGGTCAATTTCGTCCTTGAAGAAATACCGAAGCGCGATATGCTCCATGCGGTTCACGAATCCTGGCTTGTTCGCGATCTTGATGGCGCTCTGGTTGTCGCAGTGAAGGCGAAAGGTGGGCGAGGTTGGAATCGTCGCTTCCTGCAGCAACTCTTGCAGTTAAAGTCGTTCGCGAACTGCTGCTGTCGCGGCGATGTACTCTGCTTCATCCGATGACAGGGTAACCAGTTCCTGCTTCTGCGAGTTCCAGGAGATTGGTCCTGTGGGCTCCAGGCGAAAAACAAAGCCGGTTCGGGACCGTCGATTCGCAGGATCAGCGGCATGATCTGCGTCCATGTAGCCGTTGAGGTTGAAGGAGGTTGTAGTCAGTGTGGAGCAGGAGAGCCCGATATCAGGTGTGGAGATGAAGTACTGCAGGGCGCGCTCCATGTCCAGCTGGTTCTCAGCTACTGGCTTGCGAGAGTGTCGAAAGGCTAGGCAATGGATGATTCAACTATCGAGAGTGTTGGTACAAGAGGAAAAATCTAAGGGGTTGTACCCCACAGTGAGTACCCCACTACAGCCTATCTAACTTAAACATATAAACATATGTTTGACACACCCCCATAGGCAAAGTGGGGGAGAACAGAGGGTCACAAGGCCAGACAGGAAATGCAAAGCAAGCTCAGGGTGGATCACAACGTCACCACGCAATCTGAGCACAAGCAAGAGGCCACGAGGCCAGTTCACATGCAGAGATATATGTGTAACAACAACAGCACATTGATATCAGCCTACAAGAGCAAGCATGCAGGTATACATATAGATCACAGTACAAACAAAGCCTACAGCAAGTGAGGAAGCGTGGGCACAAGGCCTAACAAAGTACAGAAACGCTGATGATCACCAGGCGGAAGCGCCTTGGTGAATATATCAGCAGCGTTGGCCCGAGTGGCCACGTAAGTAAGACGAAGCTGGCCACGCTGCTGCAGCTCTCGAGCAAGGAAGTAACAGAGAGCGATGTGCTTTGTTCTGTGCTCCAGTCTGTGCTCCTGACACAAGGCGATGGCGGCCTTGTTGTCGACGTACAGAACTGGAGGAGAACGAGGCCGCTCTCCCAAGTCGGTCAGCAGGTAGGTGAGCCAGCGTAGCTCCTGCGCAGCCATGGCTGTGGCGTAGATCTCGGCCTCACAGCTAGAGCCGAGAACTGAAGACGAACGTGTAGAACGCCAGGAAACTGAACCAGAACCAAGGCTGAAGGTGTAACCCTGTGACGACCGCTGCGTAGCCTGGTCGTCAACCCAAGAGGCGTCCGAGTGACCAGTGAGGACAACGTCACCCCGTCCTCCAAGCACGAGCCCCATGCCCGATGTACTGCACAAGTAGCGTAGTACCCTCTTAGCAGCATCCATGTGCACCTTTCGGTGCCGACCAGGAGCCACGTAGCGAGCCAGAAGACCAAGAGGGTACGCAAGGTCAGGACGAGTGCAGGTCATCAGGTACATGAGGCAGCCCACTAGCTCTGGGTAAGGACCACTCGGCTCTACGGACTCGTCCGAAGGTGGAGCTGAGAGCGAGTGACCTGTAGCCAGAGGAGTGGGCTGTGCTGAGGACCAGGTGAAGCCGAAGCGCTGAAGGACCTGCTGCACCATGTGTGACTGAGTCAGTGTGATGGTGCGGCGTGCTCTGTCCCGAGTGATCTGCAAGCCAAGATAGCTGTGCAGCTCACCCAGGTCTGTGCACGTGTGTCTCTTCTGCAGCTCCGACTTCACCAGGGCGAGAGCCTCAGTGTCAGCAGTGGCAAAGACCAAGTCGTCGACGTACACGAGAACGTAGAACGGCGGCAGCGAAGTGTCAGTGCGCAAAAACAGCGACGGGTCAGCAGTCGACGGAGCAAACCCAAGAGCCGCAAGTTTCGTCCTCAGTGTGTCGTGCCACTCACTTGGCGCCTGGCGGAGACCGTAGACTGGCCGCCGGAGGCTCCACTGGGTACCAGGAGGGAACGACCCAGTGAAGCCAGGAGGGCGGCGCAGCCAGATCTCCTCGTGCAAGCTGCCCTGTAAGAAGGCTGTGCTGAAGTCAAGAGAGTGAAGCTCGTAGTCACGCTGAGCGGCAACATGCAGCAGTACCCGAAGAGTGGTCATCTTCGGGGTGGGGGAGAAGGTCTGGAAGAAGTCAACTCCCTCTCGCTGACTGAAGCCTCGAGCCACGTAACGAGCCTTGAAGACAGGCGGAGAACCTGGAGGCCGCTTCACCCTGAAAATCCACATGCCACTGACAATGTTCGCCCCAGGAGGGGGAACCTCGTCAACGTAAGTGCCTGTGGACTTCCAGGATGCCATCTCTGCGTCCATGGCTGTCTGCCACTGAGAGGAGTACTCACCCGCGATCGCCTCAGCGTAAGAGCACGGGGTAGGGATGTCTGGTGCATCCGGGTCTCCCTCAGGGGCAAGCAGCATGGACACGAGATGAGGCGCAGCGGCTGCAAGACACTCAAGGTCCTCCTGCCTGTCCTCAAGGACGTCCGTGCCAAGAGCACACTCACCCCCGACGGACGGAGGACAGACAGACTCAGACTCAGCAACAAGACTGGCGGCGTAGTCTAGACGACAGTGAGCAGCAAAGTCAACAAGCTCAGCGACTAAGGCAGACGCAGCAGCAGACTCAAACGACGGGTCAGTGACAACAGTGGCAAGCAGACGCGGGACAGTAGAGTGCTCAGCACGAAACAGGTCAGACGCAGGGTCAGCAACGACAGGCAGAGAGGACGCAGGGGGAGGCAGCAGAGGAACACGCGACGAAGGAGAGGAAGGACGACGAACTACAAGGTGAGGGTCGGAGACAGTCGGCTGTCTCTGACTAGGAACACGACGACCGGAACGACCAGAACGGACAGGTGAGACATGACGCGACGCAGGCTCACGACGCTCTGCAAGGCCACTAGTCTGCTCTGTGTACGGAGAAGGAGCAGGCAGCGGTGAGCCAGGCTGTAACGGAAGACCAGTAGACGAGGGAAGACTGAGAACCTGGCGAAGTGCAGAGTCAGGTGGTGGCTGAGACGACGGGGACGGCGGAGCGAAGAACAGGCGCGGCTGAGCAATGCCACCAGCACCAGTAGCTCCAGCACCACCAGCAGCTCCAGCACCTCCAGCAGCTCCAGTACCTCCAGCAGCTCCAGGACCCTCAGCAGCTCCAGCACCGCCAGTAGCTCCAGGACCCTCAGCAGGTCCAGTACCGCCAGCAACCGCAGGACCCTCAGCACCTCCCGCACCTCCAGCACCTCCAGCACCTCCAGCAGCAACACCGCCAGCCCCAGCAGCTCCAGTACCCCCAGTACGAGCACCTCCGGGACCAGCGACACCAGCAGAAGAACCCCCAGCAGTAGAGCCCAGAGGTGCAGAAGTGCGACGCTGACGGCGACCGTACCAGTCGTGCAGCTGCTGGGAGGTAAGGGGCACACGCGAACGAAGACGACTGCTCCAGGGAGACCCCGTAACAGCAGTCTCAGAACCCTCAGGCGACTCACCCCCAGACTCAGCACCCCCAGGCTCCGCACACGCAGGCTCAGCACCCCCAGACGCAGCACCTCCAGACGGAGCACCCCCAGACGCAGCACCTCCAGGCTCCTCACGCGTAGGCTCAGCACCTCCAGGCTCCACACGCTCAGCGCCCCCAGACTCAGCACCCCCAAGCTCCGCACCCCCAGGGACATCACCACTAGCAGCAGGACCTGAGTCACCAGTGACCTCAACAGGCGCAGGCGCGGGGGGGTCTACCTGAGAGACACCTGAAGGAGCAGGACCTGGCGCGGGGAGGGGGTCTACCTGGGGAGGACCTGGGGCAAGAAAGAGCGGCGGGGGGGGGGGGAGGAGCAGTGCGGTAGGGGAAGAGGCGGTAAAAGGGGACCGACTCGTCAAAGGTGACGTCCTGAGACGCAAAGACACAGCGCGAGGCGGGGTCGTAAAACTGCCAGCCAGGCGCGTCAGGGACAAAGCCAAGGAAGACACAAGGAATGGCGCGAGGGGAGAGCTTGTCCGCAGCGGTATCGCGGACAAAGGCACGAGCACCCCAGACTCGGAAACGCGACGCGTCGCCAACCTTCCCCGTCCACAGCAGTGTGGGCGAGGTCTCCGGCAAGGAGACACGGGGCCAAAGGTTGAGCTGATGCGCGGCGTACCTGACCGCAAACGGCCACAGAAAATGGGGGGCAGCCGCATGGATCATGGAGGTACGAGCGACCTCCATGACTAAGCCAATGCGGCGCTCAGCAACCCCATTCTGCTGCGGAGAGGCC